ATGCAATTCGCCAATGGTGTTTTCGTAAATTCATGGCGGGCGCATTATCAACGCGTGGAGTTATGAGTATGGAGCGCCGTCGGTGGCCATTGTATTACGTTGCCGTGCATAGGTGAGGCCCGATAATCTGCGTCGCGAATAGCAGTTACGCTAAGTAGCCGAGGTGAGCGCCAGCTCATTGTTTCGGGTATTTGAGGGAGTAATTGAAGGGTACAATTAAGAGTAGGAGTTGTGAGCGCGCTATCAAAATGAGTGGTGATTGCATTTTGACAGGCGATGACCACCGTTGATAGTTGGGTGGGTCTATTATGTGTTGCCGGGGCATTATGGCTAGCCATGGGCATGTGTACGGGCCTGGCAGCTACCATAGGTAGTCACGTAGGTTACGTCGACTACAGTTGCGATGTTTACTGAAGGTAGCAAACATAAACGGCATCGAGTAAGTATGAGTATGACGGTAAAGAGCCGAGTTAGGTAACTTCGAGTACAGTTGTGAGAATAACAGGCTGTCAGATTATGCAATCACCCATAGTTGAGTCCTTGTTTTTACTGGTCGGCAAATATATTGGATTGATGTCTACTGTAGGTAGTGAAGATAAGCGGCGTCGCGCATAGTATGAAAGACCATCAGCTTTATACTAAGCGTTGCACATAGACTCAAGTGTCGCAATTACGATAAGCAGCCACGGTAGGCGATATCAACTGCAGTTACGAGTATACCGGGCAGCCGCTGGTCGCTAAAATGTCACGCATAGTTGTAATCTGGTTTCTATCGGCCCGTATAGATACTGGCTTGGTGATTACTGTAGGTAGCAGGCAGGTACCGCAGTGAAGATCGGTGTTTAAGGCGGATTTCATGCTCTCCATGATGATATAAGCAGCAGACATAAGCGAGAGAGCGCACACTTATGGGTATGATGGGTCATCTTTGGCAGTTAAATCAGGACACTTCGCATAGCCGAGGCCTACTAAACAGCGTCGCATACAGGCACTGGCCTAGCAGTTTCAATAAGTAATCAAGATGGGCGATATCGCGCACAGTTTTGAGTATTAAGTTAATCGGTTGCCATTAGATTAGGTATGTGTGCACAAGGACATCGACTCAAAAGGTACGATCAAAGCCAAGTTAGATGACCTCGAGTACAGTTGTGAGTATAACAGGCTGTCAGATGTAGCTATCACGCATAGCTGAGGCTTTATTTTTGCCGGTCGGCATATAAGTTGCACTGATGTTTACTGTAGCTAGCGAAGACAAGCGGGATCGCGTATAGTTAACGGTATACAAAACCGTCATTGACCATCGGATTATGTTATTGTGCATAGGTGCAGTCTCATTATCAACGTTGCCTATCAGTTACAACAAGTATTCGAAATGAGTGAAAACTTGTAGAGTACAAGGGGCGTCGTTGCCCATTGGATTGGGCTGCCGCGCATATTTGGGGAACCTTAATTAGCGTCGCACATAGACACGGATCCAGCAGCTAAAATAGGGAGTCGAGGTGAGTGACAACGGCTACCGTCATCGTGGTGACCGCTTCATCGTTGGTGGTCACCACCTATAGAACGTCATAGTTGTAACAGGAAAGACATCCACAGCATTCTGGTAACACTGTATTATCTACAATCTAGTTATGCCTGTCTGTGGAAGGTGATATTCCACAGATGACCTACGCACTGCCACTGCAAGTTTATGCTGTAATCTCACTTTATTGCACTTATTGGAACATGAGACCCATGGGGAAAATGTGTTGTGAGCACGTTCACCAAACAAAAATATCCCATTTGTTAAATCTGAGGTGTCTAAAGCAAACAAAGGTCTGCGACTGATCCTACAGGGTGGCATTTGCACTAACTACTCTTAAGATGTTATTTTTATTCTTCAGGAGCACCGAAGAACGCCAAAATATGCTAAAGTGCGATTTCGTGTTTTATGTCGCGTGAACCGGCGAAAAATCCAAATCGGCGATGGTCAATGACCTTGACATTTCGCTCACTTAAACAAAACGCTACGTGCAACATGTCACGGGAAGGTTTTAATTGATTAGACTAACTTCCCATTAAAATAGTAACTTCGAAAACCCCATAGTTTCGGCAAACTCAATTTGGGTGTGTCAGTAGCCTGCGGCAGGCTCAAACGGAGATGAAGGAGTGGAAGAATTCGCTCGGGAAGCAAATGGCAAGTTTGTCTCAAAAATGTTGTTTACCTTGAAACTGAGTAAACTCTTTGGAAAGCCGTTTGTAAAACGGATTTTGGAGTCCGTGTTATTGCGCACGGCTATACAAGCACCGCCAGTGAGATAGTTGAATATGTGGGCTGAGAAAGCTAAAATTGCAGCCCGAAACCGGGATTGTTAGATCAAACAAGGGATTCAGCGGATCAGAACGATCTGGTCACGGAGGCTGTTTGGGCCAGGTAGACAGTTTGTCCGTATCCGCAGTAAAAGGAATGAGTGAGCAAGACAGGACAGACGAGAGCTGGAATACAATAATTTCTGGTGTGCAATCAGACTTCGTATGACGATTTTGTGGTTTCCTGGCCAATAATTATGTGCGCTAAGCCTGGCAACTAGGTTGTCAAGCTTTCGGCAGCATATAACAAATGTCATTGATTCATGGCTGAACGAAGATCTCCCCCAGCTTTGCTCATGGGCCTTACAAAGCTTATTTCCTATCTATTACCTGACTGATAAAATTCTACAATTCGATTGGCACGCATCGTGGCACGTGTTCGGTGGTTTCGGTTCCCCTTTCCAAGCGGTCTGCGAGCAATTCTCGTATCACGCAGATCTGCTTACACCCATGCCATTTGGCTGGTCTGTCAAACGACTTTTATTTCCAGCAGTTTTCTGAAAAGAGAAGAAAAACACGTCTTCCAAAAACATTGTTTATCATTTCAGAATTCACTGACTTTGTGATCCATACGCAAGGACTAAAATCATCAAGAACGTAAGAGAATTTCAGCCGCAAACTGGCCTTTTGGTTTGCATCTTGAACATAAAGGATGGACCATCTGCTACTGACTCCTGCGGCCCCATTTTGGTTCCTACTCTTAGCCACATATTTCCTGTCTGTCTCCCTTACTTTCCTTAAATCATTTGACAAGCCACACCAAGGTAAGCAAAAGCAATCGAAATTTGTAAATAGTAAATAGTGAAAATTGTAAATAGTTTAAATTTTCGTAGACGGTACAAGTAAAAGATTAAATAAATGAGTATTTTACCACCAAAAATGCATAAGGCCCCATTTTATATCCCTCAAATTCACCATGTTTTGCGAATCTCCTCCCATCTTCTCATCTTCCTAAGCTTTGAACTTCGGAATTGCCCATTTGTGACGACCTGGTTAGCTGATATCCACTCCAGCTGGCCTATGGTCTACATATCCGGGACCACCAAGCGGGCCACAAAAACCCTACAATCCCATATCGGCCTCGTTTCAGTTTGTTTCCTCGACCAAGCTGGAATGAATGCGGTTGCCCAGTTAACTCCACACCCCCAGCTGAATCACCTCAAATGTGAGGTCCGTCCCGGGCTGTCCAAAAACCGAAGCATGTCAGGCCAATGATGGTACGACACTGCCATACTCAGTTTGACAGCACACCCGCAACTGTTCCATTACTCCTCCCAACTTAGCCCTCTTGCCTACTCGTTTCATTGACCCCAACTACCACCATGACATTGATTCCAACCTGACGGACTACGTGTTCGAATTCAACCACCTCTGTGTCCTCATCCAACCTAACCCGTGCACCTGACTTCCCTATAACAGCGCAACCAGTGAGTCTGCTTGTTCTCAGATCGCACCATATTTTTGAGACTAAACTTACTATGTTCTCCCAATTCGAATTAACCCATCTCCCTCTCCACTTTTGCTCGCTGTGACTCCGGCCGTTTGCCCAACTGCCCAAGGTCACTCATGATCAGCAAAGGTTCTTCAGTTTTAGTTCATGTCAGCTGGCTAAGCCAATAAACTAGTCGAACCTCATGCCTGTTGTTCCCTACAAGTTGGAAAAGAGGCCATTTATTATTATTTCATCAAATACCCCCCGCTTTTATGACATTGTCCTCTGTTCGCACAATCGCCATCACCCGCAACACCCCACGGATTCACGAATTGATGCACAGGATCGAGGCTCTTGCCCAAGTTTCCCGGGTCGGTTTTGTTCTTGTCGGTCAGTGACTGTCGTTCACCTGAAAGGCACAAGTGAAAAAAGGGTGTAGCACTGCTCTTTATGTTCTCAGCGCGGGGCAGTATGCTTGCCAGCGCGAGGATTTGCATAAATAAATGTCTGACAGTACCTTAAACTGGGTTAGAGAAGGAGCGTGGACAACCGTCGGAGAAAGGTCATTCCACGCAGCTACTACCCGAAATGGGAAACAATTTTGTCTAATGCATGTGTGCGCTCTGAGCTTGAAAATTTTCTTACTGTGTCCCCACCGTGTGCTTACTGGGTCAACGGTGAAAAAACTGTTTGCTAAGCTTTGTTCAAACAGGGCGTAAGTAAGAATTAGGTCCCCTCGGAGGCGACGCTACTCCAGGGGAAAGAGATCAAGCATCGCGAGACGCGTTTCGTAGTCCACGGA